TTGGTGTTTTCCAGCGAAATTTTCCTTCGCCCTAGTCTTCACTGTGCCACAGCGGGCGATGGAGTGATGCCTCCACGTCTTTTTGCTTTACCCCGGTAGATTGCCTGACAATGGAAGAAGAAGAAGCATCTGGCCTCCGACTATCGTGGCCAACGGCCGGATCACCACAGAGACAGCTGGCCATTCGTCTTTCTGCGTGCCCCAGCCATCCCGAATCCCACTCCGAGAGGGCATGCTTACGTCTTCAGGCCCATGTTCGCCCTCTAAGAAGGCCTCTCGCTTCAGCCTCCCAAGCCCGTATCCGAACTCTGCCTTCCTCTCCGGGGTGGCTTTCGCGGACTCGACGGCGGTCCCCATACGGGGAGGGGAAGGGGTTCCCTCTCGCCTATGCCAAGCGTGGCAGAACAGTATGGCGTGCAGAAAGAAGCATCACCTGCAGCCCGTGAAATAATACGGTGAGTGCCGCGTTCCTGCGCGGTCAGGAGACTAAAGAGACGTGGGTACTGCACGGAGTAAGCTTGGGGTTCTGCATCCCAATCAATTTTTTAAATAGAATTACCGCCTTTTTGGCTTGCTGCTTGTTACCCCATATACAAGAACCCGAGCCATCCCACCCGCCCGCGAGAAGGGATCGTACACCTTTTTTCGTGACTCAACTATCATCAACCCACACAACCACACTCGCTCGCGTCCAGCACGGCCGTCGTTCCTATTGAATTCCATGGCTACTTTACGTTCGTTATAATAACTAAACCCTTATATCCGTCACTCGCTATACACCCAATCACCTGGGAAGAAACATGAAGATCCCGCACGTCCCGAGAAACGACGTGGTAAAGATCGGCACCGATCCCGTCGCCGTCGACTTTTCCGGAAACACCGCCGCCTCCACCCCGAGCACCAAGACCCTCATCATCGTCTCGGCCGTCCTCGGCTCTCTCATCCTCACCGTCGCGGCCGTCTCTATTTACCTCGTCGTCACCCGCGCCCGCCGGAAGAAGCAGCTCGCACATGAATACAACACGGCCATCCTCCGCAACCCGAACCTCACCTGGGAGGAATATGCCCGCCGCACGAAGCTTAGCCATTCAAGGATTTTGTTGGAGGAGGAGCTGCAGCGGAGTATCATGATCCGCAAGTCATTACAGAGCCGGACGGATGTCTCCACTGTGACTCCCGTATCGCCGCCCGCCCGCACACGGTCACGCACCTGGCACGCGAGGACTAGCTCAAGGACGAGTGTCGAAGATGAAGAGGAGGGAGAAGGATTGTTGATGTCTCTACGCGGAGACTGGACTGAGCATGAGGCAAGAGTCGAGAAGACGTGGCAGATCTTACACAAGAAGTACCCCACACGGCGGGTTACACTGCCGGTCGAGGAGGACGCCGGACCGGTCCGCCCGCCGACGATACGACTTAAAACCCCGCCTTTGCTGTCTCACCCTATGTTCCGGGGATGGAATGGAGAGACCGAGATGAAGCATTCGAGCTTGCCGACCGAGCTGGCGAAGATCAAGCCGGCTCAGATCTGATGAGGTGATGAGAAGTAATGTTTCCATGTTTATAATAATGTCTATAACGCGTCGATGAATGGGGGTTCTGGCTTAGTCCCAGCCCAGCGTGGCGTTCAGGTACAGGTGTATATGGTTGTTTAGCGTCATGAAGGCATTCTGCGTTGGGTATCCATCGTTTCCTGGGAGTTCAATGGTCATTAGATACCTAGCATAATTCAATCCCTTCGTCAATAACCCTGAGCCTTTTTCCCTGAGAAAGAATTAAGGTATGCTGACGCGGCCCGTTTTGGCTGGTTACTGTAACAGTTAGTCATCGGCGTCTCAGCAGGGTCGATTGATTGATTGTAGTGAGGCCATCACCATCAGCAATACAATAAGTTGACAAAGATTCATCCTCAATCACTCTTGCTCAGTGTGTCAGATCTTCAATCTTTCTGAGGCCTGACGTATCTCCAGGGGTGCTGTACGTGTGGTAGTTCAATCACGCTGATGTCAGCCACGGGTCAGCGGTTTTATCAGTGGCACACGAGCTCTGTTCCCCTGACAGATCATTTATCTGAGACCTCAACTCCCTTACGAAGCCAGTCGTATCCCTCATCGCTAGAATGAAGATTGTTGAGCCACCGCTGTTAGATTGTGACAGACACAAGTGGTAGTGTCATTATGAATGACTGACATTCTGCAGCTGAACAAAGGGCTTGCTTAGTGAGTAAGATATCTAACGCAGTTTCTAAAGCACCCCCTGTTCATTCTCATCCACATGAAGCACAGGTGCCTAGTGTGTCTATTATCAAAGGAGATCGTCTATCTTTCCTGTGCTACAGCGACTACTTTCCCTGAAAATATCCTCCAAGAGCCTTACTGCCGTCGTTGCTTGTATTCTAACCGTTACATCTATTATTTTAGTTACTATGATTATAGCTATCCTCATCCTCATCGTCGTCCTCATCATTGCTATCGCTACTATCGTTCTTAGTAGGAGTAATCAAGTACATTGAGAATATAGCCGCACAGACACAGGAAAACTAGACGGACTCTATCAAAAATAAAAACAATACTGAGAGCACGATGAATCCGTCAGAATGATAAGGGAAAATAATCCTGGACGTTGATAGAAATCACGGCGATGAAGGAATAGTTGCAGTAACGGTGGCAACAATGCCAGCGTCATCCACGAAAAGGCGAATCATAAAGAAAATGGATAACAGGTACGCAGAACACCATGGAATGATTTGATGCCACGTTCCCGACGCGGACGGAATGTGGAAGGGTGGATGGTTCGGTCAATCTTCTGGATTTAAATCAAACTCTCCCTCTGTGTTTCCACATTCTGGGTGCCCCAGCTTCACCATTCAGCAGACGTCCGTCCGCTATTCTGAAGTCTTCCCACTTTCACTGGTGTGTCAGAACTCCTTCTCGTTTTCCTTAATCTACTTCGCCTCGTCACTCGACGACGACGACGACGACGACGCGCCACCACCATGGAGAGACTACCACAAGAGATCATTGACCAGATCATCGACTTCTCACCTTGGTTGACCGGGCGCCGTCGTGCTCCGACGTTCGCGACGGTTTCCAAGCGATTCCAACTCTCCATCGAGCGGCTTACTTTCAGGGAAATTGACATCAATCATGTCGAACTGGAGCGTTTCGCAGAAATCTTCACCCACCCGCACCGCCGCAATCTTCTCAAGCATCTCGGGTTTAAAATCAAACTTCTGCATTGTCAGAAATACCCCGGAGCAAACGAGAGAGAGGCCAACAACAAAGTCGCGACGAATGCCATTTTCAATCTTTTGAAATGCTTGTGTCGCTGGGAAAAGAACTGCAACATCGGTTTATTCATCACAGCTCGTCCTTATCAACTAGGATTTTCCGGCACCAAGCTTGATTACCAGTACGACTATCTCGAAATCCTTTACCCGGAGCAGCTGCCCCCAGTCAACTGCATTCGGTGGCTTTTGTTGAATAACCCGGAGTCTCGCAAAAAACCGGGTTTCCGTGAATTCTCACCATTGTCGTATTTGGCACTAGCAACCAAACTTCCCTGTCTCAAAGGCACCTTTCTGAGTTACACCGAGCCTGGCGAATTCTTGGCCTTCCGTCAGAGCTTGCGAGAGAATTTGGTTCAAGCCATCAGCAAGATACCTTCAATGGCCAAGGTTTACTTTAACATCGACGGACCTGACTACACCGGTCACGACCCGCCGAGCCTGGTGCCAAGCCAGCAAGAAGACTCGCTTCCTCTTGCTCTACGCCGGTTAGCTGACAGCGTCAAAAGATTTCGATACAGTGGTCCGTTGGATCCTTGTTTCTTTTGGCCTAGTAGTCTCGCGAAAAACCCACAGCCGTTCTGGGAGAATGTCACTTACATCTTCATCACGCTCAACCCTGTAGCCCCCTCTGGAACGTGGTACTTCCGCAACGGACCCCAGAATGGCCAGGAAGCTTTCGCACTTCATCTCAAAGATCAGAGTCCTCCTGGCTATGGGACAGAAGAACAGACCGTTTCAGCCCTTGCATTCCTAGGGGAATTGACCAAGAAGATGAAGCCAGAAGTTGCAACACGGAACTTTCAACGAATGAAAGCACCTAAACGATTCGATGTGAACCCCGACACGGTCATGCCGCTGCTCAGATCAGTCACCAGAGCCATCGCCCAGATGAGATCCTTGCAGCTCTTTAAGCTACGAGACGCCGATAGCCTCAGCACGTGGTATTCGACGAACTCCTTGAAAGTGGAATACTACCTCCCAGGTGTGCTGGACCGAGAGTACAGAGAAGAACTAAATGAGCTTCCTTTGAACAAGCCTCGAGTTCTACTGCGTGCCCGGGGCCTAGCAAAGTCTGGATACCATGCAAGTGAACTAGAAGATATGTTCCGGAAGGTCTCAATCGCAAACCACCACCAGGAAGCGATTGTCACATGGATCCAGCGTACCATTTTCGTCACATTTGATGAAATATCGGCTCAAGTGACGACCTTCCACGATGCACTTCTCTTGGTACCAAGTCTTGATTCGGAAAGTACTTAGTCTCTAACAGTATTGCCAAAATTGGGAACTATGAGGAAGGACAACGGAGCAGAAATCGAAATGATTGATGTGCACAAGGCAAATGTATTATTATTATTCCAGACCATAGTCATATCTCTTTGCACTCAATCAACAAAGGTTATTGCCTTGTCTACTCAGTCTACCAAGACATGCTGCTTACTCGATGGTGGTAACTCAGCAAGTGACCTCATCATTTGTTTGCTAAACAGGCTGCCCCCTTTTGCATGCCGTTTGTCACCGCCTACACACTTGTTGGCTTTTTTCTGGGTCATGCATGCATGTTCCCGCATCACCACAAGAAACAGGAGCCTGCCACGGGTTGTTCAAGTATTTCACCAGCCCTCCCCCAACGCAAACTTCCACCTTCCAGTATTCGCGCTTTCCTCTTGGCTTCTGTCAAACTTCACCACACCACATCCTCTCGGGCACCATGGATCGACTTCCGCAGGAGATCGTCGACGACATCATCAGTCACCGTTTCATAGACGAGCTCATCCACCCATACAGACCCAAGCTCCGGTTTATTTCCCGGTTTGCAACGGTCTCTCGCAAATTCCAGCGTGCCATTGAGGGCCTCCTCTTCCGCACCATCGAGATCAGCAACCTCGAGGACGACATCCAAATGTTTGAGTCGATGTTCTCCGCGAGCCCCTACCGTCGCAACTTCGTCAAGCGTGTCACATTGCGCATTCAGCTGGACGAATACCTCCAGCGTATCATCAAGCACCCATACAAGGCCCTCGACATGGATCAAGCAGGCCGTGAGGCGTCCAGAGCGGTCTCGGAGACGCTCCTCATCCTCTCGGCTTGGACGGATCGCCAAGCCATCCGCCTGACCATCAACTGCCAGACGTGGGGAAAGGTCGTGCCGGGAGGCATGCCTGTCAAGGGCCAACACCGCCGTCGCGAATTTACGGTCATCGAGCTGCCGAACCTTGATACGCTGCCGCCGGCGCCGTGCATTCGCTCCCTCGAGACTACCTGCATTGATGCCTCTCCGCAGGTACACCCTTCCAGCATACTCGCCATCGCCAAGGCGTGCCCGAAGCTTGATGACCTCATTCTCGCACACGCCGACCCGGACGGCTACAACGATTTTGAGTTCCTCGACAAATTTGAGCACCCCGACTCTGAGATCACGTTCCAGCTTCCGATCCACAACTTCGCCAAGGTCTACATAGACCCCTCGGCCTGCTTCAAGCTCGAGCAGCTGCTAGACTTCGTGACCGAAAGATACCACGCAAACTTCTGCTCCACGATGCACGGCCTGCTCAACAACTTCGCAAAACTGGATTACCGTGGCATCCTGGAGCCGTCCTTCTTCTGGCCTTACGGTCCCTCGGAGCAGCATGCACCCTTCTGGCAGGACATGACCTACATGTGCCTCCAGTTCGAGCCGGTCAAACTGTCCGGAGAGTGGTACTTCAAGACCGGCCGCCAGATAGGCCAGTGTCCGGTGCAATTCCGGCGGACTCCGGAGGAAGACGTCATGATGCCCTTGATTGACGCGATGTGCAAGGCCTTGGATCAGATGCCCAGTCTGAAGACCTTTCAGATGTCCTGTGACGTTAACCAGATGAGCCGCGGCGGGTACTGGCGGCTTTCGTACGCGGCGCCCGGGGTTCCGTCCAACTTCGACAAGCATGTCGAGATCCCGCTTAACAAGTCTCGTGCGTCCGGAGGCGACGAGATCGCGGTTGACCACGAAGCCGACCTGGTAAGTGGCCATGATGATGGTTCCAAGAGCAGTGGCGGTGGTGCTGAAGCGAGCAAGTCGTCTCAAGGCACCGATGACAGCTCCCTGGATCATGTCCGCTCGTTTCCGAGATGGTTGCTTGATGTTGGAGACTGGAAGCCCTCCGCGGAGATTCTGGAGGCTCTGCAACGGGTGGGAAGAGGGATTCATGGGCAGGATGCTTTGATCTCGTTCGTCCCTTTCGGAATGTTTTGGTAGACAAAGACATGTACCTAGTGTTGTCGATCACTCGGAATTTGGCTCAAAGCCCAAGCCTCATATGTGTACACTCAAGTTATTCGATGATGAATCCACCGTCGTAACTATGATTTCATATCGCTGCCCAACTTTGGGCAATTCTGCTATTCGGAAGAACAGTTTTGCGGACTGGGCAGTGTCCCCTCTGACTTCAATCGTAGCGCACCTACAATTCGAAGAGAACGGTAGTACTAGACAAAATAATAGACAACTACGACGATGGACAACGACGATGGGCGACGACAACAGCGGGTATCTAGGAAATATAGTTACTTTATTACGATATGCATACAATACGGACTCTCGGGAGGATGTAAGGATTACACGTGTACACACTGCGAAGATAGCTGATGAACCGCCTTTCGTTTCAGTCGTGGTTCCTGCTGTCCTTGTCGCCCTTTTCAGAACCACAGAAATGGCCTCTTCTCCGCCTTAGAAAGAACACGTAAACCACAATCTTCTAAAGCTTTTCTCACCAGCTCTACGCCACCGGTCCCCTCTACTGCCACTTCTCGCAACTTGGGGTAGCGACCGGACTTGTGATCTACCGCAAGCGCCTCGAAGTCCTCTATCAGAGACCATTCCTCATTTACCGATTTATAGATTGAGGAAAAAACGGGGCCGCTGAAATGAAGCCGCTCCACTGACTCTGGAAGCGTCGACATGAATTCATTGCAGCGGCTTGTCCAATCGTGACGTCGCGGGTTAAGCGGGCGTGTGACCGGTCCTGGCTTTTCCTGGATGGACCTAAGAATGCTCCAATTGTCGATCCAAACATTCCGTATGTTGTTGAAGCTGCGCAGCGAGAACGGGTCGCCATCTCCAATATACGCCTCTTTTTTGCATCCTGGGGGAACGAACTTGAGACAAAGCGTTTCCAGGGCCGGGCAATGCTCCTCTAACTCGGTAATAACATCAGAGGCGAAGACACGCCCTTCCCAGATGTCCATGGCGAAACTCCTTAGGCCGCGCGCATTTTTCAAGAGCTTTTTTACGTCGCCGACGCTGGCAGCGACGTTGTTTAGTGTGATGGCAGTCAGATGCTGGGTCGCAAGGTCGTGGGTGAGCGATATCCAGAAATTCTCGATGAAAATGTCCGAGACTTCCGCGCCGAGGTCTAGAATTTTGGTCAGATGCGACGACTCCAGCTCGCAAAGGTACGGATCCTCAAGGCGTCCTAAACTTGAGGTGACGAGGATGGATTCGAGGAATGGAAGTAGATGCCCACCGTCGCTTCTCTTCAAGTCGCAAACCCGGGCCAAATCCTGCGTGTTCCCTCTCAACCCTAACTCTGTGATATAGGGATGCCGAGCGAGTACGAGGCTAGCTTGGACAGAAACGTTGCTCTCCGCATCTCCAGGGAGCGGCAGGGTAATTCCAGCCAAGTCCGCCGCCCTGCTAGCCTGGTAACGTCTCTCTTGGGCCGTCGACGGAGGAGAGCGATCCCCAATACCGCGGTCCATACCAACATAACACCGCTTGACCAGTTTGTCCACCCTCACCTTTTTGTTCGTGCGACCTAATACGTCGAGAGGCTGTTCCGGTGCCCAAAAACGGCCGCATACAAGTGGAGGTGGCGCACGGAGTAACAGGTAGAGTATGGGGTTCCGTTCAGTAAGGGTCAACAGACGCTTTTGACGCTGCGTCTCGGATAATATGATCCCTGCAATTGACAAAGTGGCCAAACGGTGCTTCCACGGATGCGCATCAAACTTGGACATCACCAAGTAGGAGCAGATGTGCTCGAGAATCTCGGGTGGCATATCATTGATGGAGACCATTTTTCTAGGCTGAAGGGATGCCGCTGATAACGTAATTAGCATCTGGAGTTGTTTTGAACTCGAAGAGAGTACTTACACATAGCGAGAATAACAGCGATAAACTGGCGACGAAGAAAATCACGTAGAAGATAAATGATGTGGTTACTTCTGCTTGGAGATATGATAACGCGGTGTAATGTTTGAAACTAGACAAAGGTGGATGTGACAGAAAGGATCAAGATCTCAGTCTTAAGTAGGTACTTCAGGTGTAGTGGACATCTATGAGTTTGTGAATGACTTTTCCAGATGAACCTTGCGAGGTACACTACCCGGGTGAAAATTTCTAGCAAGATTATTGAGGACTCACCCGATGACCTATTTTCCTGTAATGGTCCTACTTAGTGTGGTGGTTGGATTTATGTTGCCCACCTGGTTGAATCTGGAGTCGCTTTCATTATTGTCATTTGCCCGGAATTTTGGGCAAAGCTCCGTCGACCCTGAGAAGACTACCCGCTGGCTAAGAGATTTTACAATAGCACGAGATTCCATAAGGACACAAAAGGAACTGTAATTTTGTGCTTGTGACTGGATCGACATTGAGGGTTATATGGTAAGGAGGGCCCCCATCCTGAGGAATAGAAGTATCATATCGTGACCAAGCACGAAATGAAGCACTTACAGCCCCCGCTGACAATAAGCCCGGCCAATTTTGGCTACAAGAAGTGAAAATATCATCGCCTAAGTTGAATAGTTGGTTGTGCTTTCCTCATGCTTGAGCCGAAGTGATGAGGGCAGGAAGGTACGATTGGGAGGCGTGCCTGCCTCAAGCGGGAACAACGTTGTTGTTTTTCACCCACTTCACCACCTTCGCCTTTTCACCTTCGACCTTCTTCCCACACATAGCACCTTGAAAATTCTGATCACCGTCTCTATTTGTTTCAACCGCTGAGAATTCAACATCCCACGCACAGAATTCTCTAACCTTAACACCATCGTCCGTCACCGTCACTGTCACCGTCGCCGTCGCCGTCGCCGTCGCAGTTGCCGTCTTTGGTAACTCTGCGCGCCGACATCAACAACCAGATTCACGATGAACAGGCTTCCTCAAGAAATCATCGACGACGTCGTCTGGTGGCTGCCGGTGCCTAAATCAATTCACCGTCGCAATGGGCTGCCCGCGTCGCCAATCCGACCCAGCATCGCAAGTGTGTCGGAGAAGTTCCGGCACGCCGTCGAAAGGCTTACCTTCCACGAGCTTCACATCAAGACTTCTGAGCTCAACAGGTTCGACGAGATATTGTCTGGCGCGGGATCCTACCGCCGACGATTCCTCACACGCCTCAATGTCGTCGTCATCCTTCCCGAGTACGGTGGCTCCAAGTACCCAACATGGGAGTTCGCCGTCGACAGAGAAGCGAACAACCACGCTGCGACTGCAGGCATGCATCAACTCCTCTACGTCCTCTCCGGCTGGGAGTCGGACCTTCACCTTGAGTTGACTCTCGAGGCCCAATCCCCTTCGGACCCAGGAGCTCTCACCAGCAGGCAAATTGGGCAGCGTTGGGAGGAAATCGGAAACGGAACACGTTACCGCTTCGAGCACGAAAGGTACCAGTACTCATTGACTGAGATTCTTAATGTCGACAAGATGCCCTTCGTTCCTTGTGTTCGCACAGTTCACTTCCACGGACAACGTCAAAGTCGCCAATTCTCACCAAAAGCTGCTCTCGCACTGGTTACACGATTCCTACAGGTGCAGACTGTTCGGACGGAGTGGCGTGAGCCATATTGGTTCCCCGATCTGCTGAAGGCAATGCGGCGCCAATTGACAGACTCGCTCAAGTCAACTCATTTCCCGCCAACTTTGGATGAATTGGTGTTCGAACTTCACCCGCCCAATCGTATCAGCGGCAATCTTACTACATCACCGAATCCAAAGCCCGATCGTCTCTGCAGAGTACTACACCAGGCCATCAATCTGAATCATGTTGCCCACCTCAGGTTCACCGGCGAAGTTGACCCGTCGTTGTTCTGGCCATACCAGCCGTTGGAGAAGCCGGAACCCTTTTGGCAGTCAATGAAGAAATTGGAGATCACGATGGCGCAAAACTCGACGTCGACCGAGTGGTATCAGAGAACCAACTACAACAAGTGGTCTCAAAAGACCATCGCTCGCTACAGCAATATCGAGTTTCCTGTCAACCATGCTGGGCTCCCTGCGCCTGGACACGGCTCTGCACGGGAGGCAAAACGTGCGCATCGTTATGTTGAAGCTATGTTTCAGCACGAAAGAACAATTTACGCCCTCACATATCGTACCTTGGTGCACGGAGGTTTTAGAGATGAAAATGATGACAATGGCAGTGATGGAAACGACAACGAGAGCAGTGCTCAGGACGGTGGCAACAGCGACGATGCTGACGAGAGCAAATACGAATACGATGACGCCAGAGTGCACGAGATGCTTGAATCCTGCGAAGTCAACGAGCCTCCAATGGCCCGTCTTTTGGATACGATGATGAAAGCGATGCTCCAGATGCGTCGCCTTGAATCTGTGAGGCTGAAAGGCTGTCTCTCTGAGATGTGGTGCTTTGAGTTTTACGCCCCTGGTGTGCCTAGCAAGTACGATGCAAAGTCTGAGGCAACACCCTCTTATGCAAGATTCATTCTACCCAAACGTCACTTCTGGATTCCAGGCGAAGAAATTCTGAGCGGGTTCCGCAACATGGCGACGGAGAAGTATGGTCAGCAGCCAGCCGTTATCTGGGTTGAGCACATATGGCGGAATTAGCGAATTGAGGATGATGTGGACGACAGAGACCGACATGAACGACATAGGGTCAATGGACGGCGGACTGGCAGGTCATTTGATTGACGGAGGACGGCGTGCATAACGGAAATGGGACTGGACAAAACATTGCGAACATTAGACGTTGCAGGTCATTACTTTCGTGAACAATGACTGGGTTGCGTAGAACCCAAGGTTTTCTCCAGTTTCTGACTCTGCACACACTGGATCAGAATCACGTAATTATCCATGAAACAAGTACGTCGAGGCTTCTTTTAGTCGGGCCTAATATAATCAGTTGAAAACCAAACTATTCAGGGTAATCGGTTGCCATTTGAGCGCCCTCATCACTGGCCCTCGTTGATGAGCAACATTTCTCTTGGCCGCAGCTCTGGTCATTGAAAAGCAGTCACAAACGTGCTTACATGACGGTCCCTGAAATCTTAACCTCACATGGTCTGAGTTGCCACCTGCTTCGTTTCGCCGATTCGGCGATAGGAGACAACTGCTGAGAGGACTTATCCTCACTCCGCAGATGACTTGAAAGGGTGTCTACGCAGTACATGTACGCCGACCCCCGATCTGCCGAGGCAAGCCATGACTTGAATGTTCGGGGTAGGTGGTCATCTTTTGCCCCTCCAAGACCCCTAGAAAACGACAGGTGACTCCCAATATTGCCCCTCAACTCGCGATGTCAAGTCCAGATCTCTGAATGCCAAGGGTCCAGCGTTCAGCTGCCACATCTTCTTGCGGCACTTCTGCCATACGGCCGTTAGATTCGGATCGGCGCCTCTTCAGCCACCATCAGTTGCTAGGACGACTCTGTTGGCTTAGAGTCCAAAGTCTCCAGCCCCTCCGACTAATGTTCCCCGGTTTTCCCTTAGACAATTGAGTCAGCTGCTGGAATGTCCCCAGCTTTTCGGCGAGCTTAAACAGTGGGAGTGGTTTCATTGACCGGAATGCATACTTTCCCCTCAGCTTCCTCCGCACTTCTTTTCGTTTAATTCTTCTTCGTCTTCTTCCAAGCTTATTCTAACTTAACAGCTGCTGCGAAGTTGGTCGGCATGATCCGAGACCTGATTCAATCGATGACATGCACTGAGACAGAAGACGTGCATCTAGGCCATGCCAAGCCTGGTCAGCACATCGCGACATGGCCACCTGCCCCAAATCGCCGGTCATCCACTAGTCTCCCTCATCGTCTTCCCGTGCCCTTTGATTGCCTTTGTCTCTGGCCGTTTGAAGGCTGAGTGTCATCTGACTCGGGCCGTTCCAACGGCCATGATCGCCGCCCTTATTGACGCCTCTCGCGCGAAAGCCGCCGACACGGATGTCTAATCTCTTATAGGTTCGATAGACCAAGATATTCACACAACGTCTTGTATTTTTTCCCGATTCGGCAGCTGTGTTTGGGAAAGTTGAGATGACTCTCCCGGCGAGCATGGGCAGGTCGGCCTGCAGAAGCTCTGACGTGCCGACCACCAGGGGGGGAAAAGGATGTTGACTTGCTACCCCCACATCATTCCCGGTCGGCGCTGTGCCGTCTGCAAGTTTGCTGTGCTTTCTCTCACTCGCTGCTCCTCTGTGCCGGGTGCCGCTACTGCACGATTGGATGACCGCCGAGCCGCCGGCACCTCTGCTTGACGAGAGGTGGCAACGCATGCCCCGAGCTTGTGGGACACTTCGGATGGAAAACCACTCCCAGCTCCCAGCTTTTCCGTGAGAGGCTCTTTTTTAATGATGCCGGGCAGCAACTCTCTGGGTTGTGCCCCATCGTGTTGCCGCAACTGATACCGGCAAGGCGCACTCATTTGCGTTTGCCTTACCTAAAACCCCTATTAGTGCGCGATTTATTACCCCTCTATACTACTTTTACCTATTCGTATATATTAACACCAAAAATATATTAATTAATACTAATTATTATAAATTATTATATAAATTAATTATTAATAGCTTTAGAAGAGCTTTTTTTTACTAGAATCTATAAGCTAATACTCTACCTATCTTTATAAAATTAACTCCTCTTAACTATATATTTTAAAGTACTAAGGTAAATAAAACTATTACTAAATATATTAATTTAAAACTTATAATATTATTATTATTTATCCTATTAGTATTATTAGTAAATTAATATATATTATTATAAAATCTAAATATAAATTAACTATTAGTATTATTAATAAGCTTCTTTTTATAGTATAATACTTATTTAACTATGTTCTATCTCCTAATAGTAAAGTATTTTAACTATATTAATACTAAAGATCTTATTACTAAACCTATCTAGGAATATAAAATATATATAATATAGCTTTTTTACTATTTATCCTCTTTACTAATACTATATTTAATTAAAATTATATTAATATTATAGAGTAAATAATACTAAAACTATTAAGTAGTAAGTAATAAGTTTAGCTAAAAGAGTTATTATTTATTTATTACTTTAATAATAAAGTAATTATAAAACTTATTAAGTATAATATTATAATAGTTTAGATTTATTATTAATAATAAGAAGTATCTAGAGATATATTAAAACTATATTAACTAGTAAGTTCTAAGTATTATAAAATATTACTAATCTATAAGGAGGTAATCTTTAAGTTTTTATATAATAAAACTAACTACTACTTTAATAAAGTTTAAGCTTTTTTTATAGAAAAGTTTAATTTATCTATATCTATATTAGTAATCTCTTACTACTTTAAAAAGATCTAATAAAAGAAGAAGAAAATTTAGTATATTACTTAATAATAAAACTAAGCTATATAAGAGGTATATATTATATTAATCTATAACTATACTACTAATATATTTATTTTTATTAATAAGAGTAGTATTAATTATTAAAGTAGTATTAGATATATAAGCTAAGCGCTAAAAAGTATAAAGCTATTAAAGTAGAGTATTCTAAAAAGAGGTATATAGTATTATATTTTACTAGCTTTCACTATTAATAGTCTTTTTAATTATATTATTTATCTTAAATATATAGATATTAATAATTTCTTATTTTAGATTAAGAACTTTATACTACTAAAGATAGAGGTATTTCTTAGCCTAAAATTAGTATTAATTATAAATAACGTAGTATAGTATAATAAGAGACTATTAGAGGAAGCTTATTAATAGTATAGCGTTAAGTTATTATACTTACCTATATATTTACTAAACTTTAACCTTATTAAGGCGTTTTTTAAGGACCTTAAAAGTTACTTATAGAAGTAATTTATATAATTTAAATAACTTAAAGTAATAGATACTTTTTTTATTAATTTCTTTTATAACTATATCCTCAAAATAGCTAGTAATACTAATACTATCTTAAATCACTTTTATTACTATAATATTTATATTAAAATAGTTAAAGATATTAATAGAGAAGAGAGCTTACTATAAAGTTAATTTTATAGTTATAGTTATATTTAACTTTAATACTATTAAAGGCTTCTTTTACTTAAAATAATATAATATTAATATAAAAAAAATAATCTAATCTTAATAGTTAGTTAGCTTTATAACACCTTAATTATAATATATTTCTCTTTAGCTATAGCGTTAGAGGTATATTCTATTTATTAGATAAATTACTACTAATTATTAAAGTTAAGATCTTTATATTATTATAAAGAAGTAAGAAAAAACCTTATTCTGCTTATTAAAGCTTATTATTATTATTATTATTAAGTAATTAAATAAGAGATATAGTAGGAGAGTAAATATAATTAGTTATTTTAGTAAGAGGATCTTATTTAGTAGGAGGATTTTATTTAGTAGTATTAATAAGAAGTATTATATTTTCTACCTAAAAATTAGTTAGTTTTTAATAATATAAAGTAGTAAATATAAACTATCTTCTATTATTAAATCTATAATATACTACTTAAGTAGGAACTACTTAATTTAGCTTCTAATTACCTCTATAATACTTATAAGGATATTATTTTTTTTAAACTAATTTATTAATACTTTTTAGAGAGATTTAAGTTAAAAATAAGCTTATAGGATAATATTAAGAGTAGTATAGAGATTAATATCTTATTTATTATCTCTTATCTCTTCTATTCTCTATAGATACTATAGATATTTATAGAGAAGTTATAATATAAGTTTAATCTAAGGAATAAATAGTAAAGAGGATAAAATTAGTAAATCCTACTTCTTAGCTTATAGTAGTATTAATAGTAGCTTTATTAATAGTAATATTAATAATAATAACTAAGTAAGAGTATAGTTATAGAAAGGAAAATTTAATAGTATATAGTTATAATATAGTAATAATAATAAGATATTCACTTAGTTTATAATATTTAAGTAAGAGGGTAAATTAAATTTATTAATATTACTTCTACTATTTCTACTATTTCTATTACTTCTTAACTTTAATATAACCTTACTCTATAGCTTAGATTTAGTTTTAATAAAATATCTATTATAATATAAAGTTATATCTATAATAATCTCTTCTAAAGCTTTATTAATAGTTACTAATCTTTTAATTATAGCTTCTACTTAAGCTATAAAGTATATTTTATTAATCTAAAGATATAATAATAGCTTTATTAAAGTAAAAAGTTAAAATATATAATAATTACTAGTAATACTATTATAGTTATTAATATACTTAACTCCTAACTTATATCTATATATAGCTTAGATTATTTAATAGGTATCTTAGGTTAGCTTCTACTTTAACTTACTAGTTAATAATAAGTTACTTTATTACTTCTATTAATATAATAGCTTATTAGTATTATTAAATTTAATAAGAAGAGGTTTAATAAAATTATTATTTTACTATAAAGTTTATAAAGTAGTACTTAGTTATAAAAGTATTTTAATAAAGTTTTAAATTAGTATTACTCTAATAGAGGGGTTTATTTAAATAGAACTTATATTAGATAGTACTAGAGATAACTATTAAGACTTATAATAATAGTTTATAGAGATTAATATATACTAATTAAGTTCTTTTATTATAGTATTAATAAGAA